GTACAGCTCAGTCTCCTGGAGAAGCTCTTCACTTTGGCTTTCCTGATGGGAACTCAGCTTTCCTCATCACTGGAGGACTCGGACCTCATTGTTGCTGACGATGGCTGTGGTATTTTTGCGGAAAGCTGCAGTTCTCACCTTGAGCATTGCTTTCTGGCTCCAGCCCCAGATCCCTCATCCTGCTCACACAGATCCTCTATCCCACTCAGGGGGACTCAGACTTTCTAGCTTCCACCACTGACCTTTGGGCCTTCCCAGTGCAGATCCGTGAAACAGGCCTGCACAAGGCATTATCGTGAGATCCGCGCCCTTAGCTGGACTCTTTGGTCCTCAGCGTGTGTACAGATTTACTACACTGTCTTTGTATGTGTTTCTTTGGGTAACTATTAGAAAATAATTATATAAACTATGTGTCCTGTATTGTATTATTCCCCTTACAAGAACCCCAAAATCATGACAATGCCTGTGTGACCTTGCACAAAAATATCTTCATCACCTTGTAAGAGCCTTTAGTAACTCTGGATGTGGCAGGTAGGCCTTTCCAATATTGGGGCATCTAGCTCAATCCTAAACTCTTTTGGGGGCAAATTATCAACCCATTCCTTCATTGCTGTGGGTTTAAAGGAGTTAGCTGGGCAGTTTTCTTTACTGCCACTCTGAGCTGCCACTTAGAAGCTTTCCTTTTCCTTGCTGCCTTCTTGGTAACACCAAAGTACCCCATATGGGCTGGCAGGATAGCTCAGCAGACTAAGCACCTGCTTAGGCAAGCACAGGGACTAGGGTTCGATCCCTGGCACCACATGCCACACTGGCCCCACCCCCGAGTGTGCTGAGTCTGGGCATGGTAGCGCATGCCTGTAATCCCAGGGCTGAGGAAGCTGAAAACAGGAGGATCACTATGAGTCCAAGCTGTGTAGTGAGACCCTGTTCCAAATACATTAAAAAAAAAAGAGCCCACATTAGTAACTAGAAGAGATATACTCTCCCTGTTGGCAGTCACTCTTCATTCAACCCTCTGTCTCCCTGTGCTGGTTGCTAGCAAGCTGGCTGTATTAGCCTGATTTTTCTGCCAGAGATTGATCCCCAAATGTGGTATATGACACGTAACAGCAGGCTGTCCAGGCCACTCCAGTAATTGTTCAATTGAAGGGCTCTAGTCCACACCCTGATAGAAGGCAGTATTACCTTAAAGGAGAAGCTAGGAAGGGGCTAAAGCCCTCTACGACACATTGCTGGTAACAAGGTTGCTGCTGCTGGGCCAGCCCCTATGTACCACACCCAATTCACGTTAGCCAAGCATTAGGACATCGTTAGTGGAGCAATGGTCCCAAGCCACCACCACCACCACCTCCCAGTGGCAAATCCACACATCTTCCTTGCACAGAACCCAGGAGACTCTGACTGATTCTCTCCTTAGCCTCAACAGTATCCTTTTCTATTCCTGTGGATGCTACCTGTAAATACTTGCTTGAGTTGCCTCTTCAGGGTAAAACTCAACCACCTGAGACATCAAGATACAGACCACAAACCCACACCCATAAACCAGTGGATAGGTGTCAGGGTTTTTTGTCGTTGTTGTTTTTTGTTTTTTGTTTGTTTTGGTTTGGTTTGGTTTTTTGTTTTT